CCATGCCTTACGCCGCCCTTGGTCATAGAAATGATGTAATTTGAATATAAATTATTTATAAATACGTATGTCAAGTTATATTTTTATTACTACGTAAAATATATTAAGAGTTTATGACCAATGTGCTGGGTGAGACATTGTTGAAACAAAAAAAGTTATGCATTCAATCACGTACATAAATAGTATCGTAATTCGCCAAATGCAAATCAGCAAATTCGTAAAATTTTTGTTTATTTTGAACAATCCGGATAATCGAAAATCCGGATAATGGAGGTCCGGATAATGGAGGTTCTACTGTATTACAAAAAAGTAACATCCAATGTATACACCCTAATATACAAACTATATGTAATAAACTTTTTTTTACTAATGTTGAAGTTAGTACATTTAATGCTTCCAAAATAAAGTAAACATAAAAACACTAGCTGAATATTTGATTCTTAGACATTAAATAACCAGAATAACTACTTAATCCAATAATTTATTCATGTACTATTTTAATGAAGCTTAAATTATATATAAAACTTGCAATCTTACACTCATCTTCAGGCAAGTTGATTTAAGTATTAATTGGTTTTGCAACACTTGCTGTATTAGCATTGATTAAAAATACAAAATTTTTATTTTAATGTTAATTTTTGTTAAAGTCATTTACTCCTGAACTGTTTTAATGTAGTTTAAGTTCTATTAAAGCAGTTCAGGAGTAGATTCTTAGATTTTATGAAATAATTGAATTATATTATTAATATTCCTAAGATTGTTAAAGATTATTACATTATTAGTTTTGTCATTGCTATCTGAAACTTCTAAATGAGAGAATGAGAGTGTTGCTGATAAACTTGCTATATAATAAAAAGATATAAATTGTAACTTTTTGTAGATATAAATTTTTTATGAAGAAATTTGTATGCATCTAACTTTTTATTGTTGTTTTTATATTTTATTATATAAAAATTGTCTCTATATATTGTTTTTATTAAATTTGTTAAAATCAATGCAAATATTATTTAGGTAAGTGCTACATATTCTGATGGTTATAGAGCCATAGCAGTATGCCCAATTAAAGGACCTAGAGCTGTAGAAAAAGCTGAAAAATCTGCAGAAGCTGTATTAAAAAGGTTTCATGATTTAAATTTTTTTCATTTCTTTTATAGTATTTGACTTCTTTAAAACTTTTTATATAACTTAAATTTTTCTAGATGTAACAAGATATTTGATTACATGCAATTGGGAAATTTTAGAAGAGTTTACATGGAAATTTTAGGTTCTGAACAGAGTTATGGAAGGAAAGCTATATCAAAAGAAAAGGTAATATCTCAGCACATTTAAAATAACTTGCTTATGTTGTTTTTTTCCATGTTTACATTTATAATTCATTACAGTGATATTAATCTTTTTGTAAATACATTAGCCAATAAGAACCAAAATGTTTCTGTAAATTTTTTTTTACAAGAAAAACATTATATCTGCCAGCTGATATTTTTTCTTTTATGGAGAAAAGTATCTGGCAGACATAATATGACCTTCAGTTTTATATAATTTTTTGACTAAAATTAAATATTAAATTATTTTCCCATATTTGTAGTTTCCTAATTTTAAAAAGTATCTGCTGTATATATTTTAAAAATGTATATGGTTATAATATAGTATTTAATGAATCAGATGATTGTATATAATCTGCATAATTTCAATTATTGTTTACATTAACTTTCTATTCAATATATTAAACATATTGCATAATATCAAAGTTTATTCTATATTTGAAACTGTTTAATCAAAAAAACTTTTTATACTTTATTAAATGAATTATAAAAATCAAATTATTGCCAAATAAATGATCTTTTCTTATAAATGTCAGATTAAATATTGATTTTTTTTTTAAATAGCATTAAACTGACTAAATAGTTTTTAACTTATGGTGTCAATGTTTTGGTACCAACATTACTATGTCACCAGTAAAATTATCAGTAACTTTTAAATTTGTTCATGGTGATAATTAATTTATAAGGAAAAAACTGAAATTTGTATATTTCTGATTTCAAATAACAATACTAAAATACTTAATTGAATGGTTAATACATAAATTGATTATAAATTTTATTTATTAAATTTTAACATTTGATTAAAGTTATAATCTATTGATATATATAATTTATACATACATGTTTTTAGATTTTAATTTCAATTTCAACTTGTGGAATAGAAAATAAATCTGAAATGTTAATGCATTAATAATAGGCAACACAATGTTTAATTGGGTGATATCAAACTCTGTGTAATATATTGTGTATAATGTTGCACACAATTAAAATCAAATAGTCTTTCTACATTTATAATAAAGAAAATGACAACTAAATCAAATTTTATTAAAAAAAAATCTTTTTAATATCACAACATTAAAAAAATTAGTACTAAATTATATATCTTAAAAAAAGATATGATGTTTATTTTATTGCATTAATTGACTTTCTCTTCTAATGATGTGAGTGTGTCATTGGGTCACAATTTGAAAAAATTGTAGACCTATAAATTCTCACTGTCATTTGTGTGTCTGTCTGTCTTACCTTAATCTCAAGAATGGTGTTAGATAGATGAAAGTCAAGACCAGATATGGAAAACATAGGGACAGGAGACCCCGATTAAATTAACTATAAACAAATTTTAATTTTGGGCCAGAAGTCATGTTATTTCAATTCAAAAATTTTCTCCTGAATGAAGTTAGATAGATGACTGGCATGACTTCATTGTTACAAGAAAAGTATGATGTACAGGGTCAAGATGCTGCTAAACTTGAGTCTATTGTGACAAAAAATTGCAGTTTGGCATTGTGATATATCACAATGCATTGCTGTTATAAGTATGAAGTTAACTGAATAATGATAAATCACTAATGACTTAATTTATTCCTGTATCACTTCTAAATGATGACAGTATGATTCAACATGGATTTATTTTCAATGTATTTATTAAAAAAATTACAAAGTAATAATTCTGATTTCCAATATAATTTATCTCATATCTTCTATTTGCAACAATATACAGTAGAACTCTACCTAATGCATATTAATCACATACAATTTCAGGTTTATGCTATTGGAAATCCAAAAACAAAATCAAAAATACCTAAAGTAAAAATTTCTAATTGTGCAATAAATTCTTGTTATTTTTTAAGATGATGAAATCTTGCAGCATCTTACTCAATCATGCTCTTTTTCATTCTGAGAAAGCATTACTGTGACTCATTTGTTTTGCACTAAACACTGGGACTCACATCAGTCTTTGTCTGGAGTTCTTGCTTTTAACATGTTATGTCTATATAATTCTCTTTGCTTTGTTTGTGCTAATTACTTTGCAAGCATGGCTCCAAAATACTACAAGGCTAGTGATGCTGATAATTGTGATAAGCTAAATAAAAGCCATAAAATGCCTACTGTAGATGAAAAAATTTAGAGGAAAAAAGTTTGCTTCTGAAAATTTTTTAAAGTTTTTTATTTATGTCAACATGCTATTTATTGATGATATAGTATTTATTTGCTTTATTTATAAAAAGAAAGATGTGATAGGTGTATTCATACAGTGTGTGCTTAATAATTAGTAGGAAGTAGAATTTGTTATTTTACATGAATTCCACTTTTAAGAGGTACTTTGGAATGTATTGATCACATATGGTGAGGCCCTATTTTTGAATATACAGTGTGTCCACATAAGTTTGTACAACATTTAGAAAATTCATAAGTCATAAAATTTGTCATCTACAATGGTGTGAAATACATTAATAGAAAGAAGAGGAATGAAAATTTGTTTCTACACTTCAGTGCTCAGTGTGACTATCACCTGTCACATGATAAATGTCAAGTCAGTAGTCAGAAAAATTCTGTCCACATATATTTCAGCACATTGGTTGCACATTTATATCACAACACATTAATTGCAGCTGTGATAAAATGTCAAAATTCTGGAATGTTTGAAGATGGTATATAAATGTAATCCTTAACATACCCTCATAGAAAAAAGTTACATCTGATGACCATGCATTCCACTGAAGTAAAGCATTGTCATTGCTTCCAGTGTGGTAATGAGTTGGTATCTCATCTTTTTGAAAAATCAAAGTTTCACTGTTTTCCTGTAGTTGAGGAAGGAGCCACTGCTGCACCATGTTCAAATAAGACAGAATAAAATAGACAGGAAGATAAATGGTCCATGCACTTTTCTCTTAGAAACTGAACAAAAAAATCTGGATTTTGGATGAGTCCTGTATATGCTCCATTGTTTAATGAGGACTATCGGTTTGACGAATTCAATAACAGAACCCTTTCTCCTGCCATATCTGTATGAGGCTCTGGACGGGTCCAAACCCTCACTAAAATTCGCGTTAAAATAATTGTTTTAAAGAAAAAATATATAGTAGTTAGAGATAGATTTTTATTTTATGAAAATGTGACGCTAACTTTTAAACAATAGAAGAATGTAAGTCCGTCGACCATTTCTGGTTGGAGATCGAATGAAACTTCGATTTTGACCTCTCCCGCGCCCCGAAAGGTTTTGAATTGTCATCAGGTGACGAGGAGAGACCAATTGGAAAGGGAAATCTGAGAGAAAATGGATAAAACCCCGGAAATTCAAGGACACAATGGCTTCTTCTTCCGAAAGTTCCAAGTGACGGATCTGTTGTTGTGTGTGTGTCTCGCACCCATCTTCGTCTCCATCTCCCGACCTTGGATTGACATCTTTCCATCAATGGAAGTCAACCGCATCGTCCCGGAGTCGTCGAGACGTGATGGAATGGTTCATTCGCAAACAAGGGACACTCCTTCAAAATGGGACTATCTTGGAAAGGAGAGGAAGACCCAGAGGCTGCAGCCGCCGAAGAACTTCCAAGATCACAGACATCTTGTAAGCTTCTTTCGTGTTTAATAAACGGTTGTGTTGTTTGTAAACGAAGCATCTATTTCTGACTCAACTGCTTCTACGTGTCCTTGATTGTTACCACTCGGCAGTCCAAAACGGCAAGGGAGACGATGGCGATATATATGCCTATTATCATTCATTGAGTTTCTTTTTATTTCTCCCCCCTCGGCCCCCATATCTGTATAATTTTGAGAAAAACTTGCTATCTGCAACTAATTGTCATGGCCGAAGAATAAAAATGATTTCCATTTCTCTTTTTTCTATTAACATATTTCACATCATTGTAGGTGACATAATTTACAAATTTTCTAAATGTTGTAAAAACTTATGAGGACACTTTGTATATATACCAATTTACCACTTTGCATTCAGTTTTGTGTAGATATCTACACAAAACTTGTACAATGTTGTATAGATTGTTAATAATTTTTACTTTAAAATATTTATTTAAATTTTTTTAAATTCAAAACGTAGGCTCCTCGTGAAGTAGTTATGTGGGTTGGAGTACATCATGACAATAAATTAGCATTACAACTTTTTGCAAGAGAATTAGCATCTTCTGCTACAGGAGGAGGTAATTTATTTACTGATGTATAGCTAGTTATAAACTATGACATATTACAAAAAAGTAAATTATTTTCATTATCAGGAATTGTATATAATGAATACAAAAATAGAATCTCAGCTAAAAATTGCAATTGAGCTGAACTGTCTCAATAAATTAAATGTTTTTTGATTGTTTTAACAGAATCAAAAAAGTTACTCTGCATCGATTTATATATTGTTCAATCAGCTTTGACATGCAAATTTTTTAATAAAGTATTCATATATACAAATTTTCAGATATATTTGTAATAAATTCTTAAATTAAATTTTATTGATTAAATTTTGAATTAATTACTTCTGATAAATAATTCAAAATTTAATCATCTTATCTATGATTATCTAAAGAACAGTGGTATTGTTAAAGCTTTGAATCTTGAAACATTAACGTACTTTTATGTCTTCACAATCAATAGGAAACTGTATCAGTAATTGACATTATAAATTTGTTTTAGGTTTGATATGTCGAGAAACATGTAAATATAAACTTTTCTAATAAGCCAAACAATTGCTAGATTTTTCAGGCTACTTTCCTGTTACTATTGATATTAATGATTAAATATTACACAGTTTTGTACTAGAAGTAGATGTTAGGCATCATCTCTTATTAAATTTAATAATTATAATTAAATTATTATATATTAAATAATTTAGAATATTCTGGAAGAAAAGAATCTGCCCAGAGTGAAACTCAAACCCACAACTCCTGCTTTTCGGTTTTTTGATCAAACATATCAGTGCATTTATCAATAATAGGTTTTAAATGTAGATTCAGCATATGTTTGTATGTATAAAAACTTAGTACAGTAGACCCCCCTATAACGCTTAGATACGTTCCATGCTAACCGAAAATTACGTTGTAGGAACGATTAAATACATGAGCCAATCGCAGCCCGATAGNTAGAAAACAATATTCTGCCCAAACTCCAACACCTCATCCTCTTATACACTAGATATGTTGATGATATCATCATCTTGTGGGAGAGAAAACCAAACCTGTAGCAGTTTTTAAAGGTGATCAATGATAATTCCTATGGTTTACTCCTACAATTAGACCAGTAGAGTGAAACAACAGTAAACTTCTTGGACATTTCTATCTCTTGCAAAGATGGCAAAATCTGGACCAAGGTATACAGGAAACCATGTTTTCAACCTCTTTTAATTCCATATAACTCTGTTGATCCCCAGCACATCAAATTAGCAGCATTTAAATCCTTGATTAGAAGGGCATATACCCATTGTACCAGAATACAGGACACAATATTGGAGCTGAATTACATACGTATTACACAGAATAACAGGGTTATCCGATAAAAATAATACAGAAATTGATTGTAACCTTTCAAACATCAAAATGTCAACATGCATCATCAGACCAAAAATGAAGAGTGGTTTTAAATTATATCCCATCTTTAAGAAACATACATAAGAAAGCAGCCAGCGCTAATGATGTAGTGATAGTACATCGACGCAACCCAACAATCTTCAGAATTTTAAGGAATAATACGTAATAGGGGGGTCTACTGTAAATACTACTATCAGAAAAAAAATGTTTTTCTGAAAGCAATGTTTATAATGTTTTTCAAATGTAATGAGTTGTTTTATTTATTTATTTTTTTTTTGGATCTCAAAATTTTATAAATCTTAAAATTTCAGACTTTTAACAAACTTTTTACATTGTATGTGCCACAAATGTTGTATTAATACTGATTAAATGTTAATAACATTATAATAGTGTTAACAATGTTGATTACTGTAATGTTAATAATGTGTTATTGATTTGATTATTGAGTTTATTTTTCCTTAAACCCTTGCTATCTTCTATCCTATTCAAATGTTATTGATTATAAATAATAAAAATTGTTAAAATTCAGCTCATTCAAAGTCATCTAAACATGTTTTATCTTCTAAGTCAATTAGAAAAACTTTGAGCTTTCAAATTTAGCTTTAGATTAAAACAGAAAAATTAAATTTAGCAAAATTGTATCAAAAAGTTAATGTATTATTCTTTTCTTTTTCAAACTTAAACATTTTGTAGCTAAAATTGTCTTCCAAAGGATTTGTAAAACAGTAGCAAATGTTGTTGCTATTTGCTGACATTTAGAAGATGTATTGACTCTTCTAATTTTTCTTTTTAANTAAATTCATTACTGAATATTTTAAAGGTGTGGTTTTTTGATTTGATGGCATTCTCTCTGTATAACTTGCATAACTTTTTACAGGTTTTTACCATATAGTTTTTTCTTTTTTGAAATGAAACATCATTATATGCCAGAATTATAAAATGCACTCAATCTTCAAACTGTTTAGTTAGAATGTATAGTTAAATGTTATCTATCAAATAATTGTATGTTTTCAAGATTTGAAGTGAAGTTAGTTATATTTCAGAGTGCTTGGAGACAACTATTGCAAAAATTGCATGAATTTTCTGGCCAACCCAATAGTTGTAATATCACTTTATAATTTAAAAACACTATATATGAGGGCAAATCAGAAAATATAATAGTATTATAGTTTTTATTAAATCAAAAAAGAAAGTTTATAAAATATGTAAAAAATCTTATTTTTCAACATAATCAAAACATTATTCACATTAGTCTACTGCTTCTTAATACTGCCTAAGGAAAAAACATTTTCGGTTGTTTAGTAAGCGAGATGTTTACCATTTCTTCAATGTTTAAGTATGTCATTTTCAGAGCCAGGAATGACAAATTTAGTTGGAGGAAGACCAAAGCCGTAGGTTGACTAGATTTTCACTTTAAATATCATTTACATTTATTTTAATATAATAATTTAACAATTAGTTATAAATACATACGTATTTAAAATCTTTCTAAAATAGTATATTAGTTTGTTATAAAATGGAATCAGTGATATGTGAACAAAATAAAATTTCAAAAATTGCATAATTATGATAGGAAATTTTAAATTGATTATTTATGTAGCTTTGAAAATAATGAAAATGTAAATCTTGGCAAATGCAAAAATTCTCTGCATTTTTGATGCCCAGACTATGGAGCTGTGCATGTGTAAAAGCCGTGCCAAGGGAGTGGAGGTGAATCTTCTAACTCCTTTGCTGCAATGATTGTAAAAAAATTTTGCCAAGACTCACAAACTGGGAAACCAATTACATCTGGTCATTGAGAAATGTAATTCACCAACATTTTTGATCAAGAAGCAGCTGGTTAATTAAATTCTACCATGCTAAAGCTACTTACCATCTGTTTTCAATTAACAACTCACTGCAAATTATAGAACACCTCAGTAACGTTTTGCTGTAGACAAAGAATATATGATGGTTTTAGACTTTAAAGCAATGTATCCATCTATAAAAATACCTCCTTGTTTTTGTGCAATAAGGAATTTCCTGTTTGCCAACATCGAAGATGTGCGTAAACATCACAATCATATACTGGAATTTGTGCATCTTTTGTGTTATACATTATTATTTGAATTTGAGGAGAAGGTATACTTACAAGGAAGAGGTGTACCTATGGGCAGTCTCAATCCAGTAATACTTTGTGAACTAGTAGTGTGACAATTAGAAAACAATATTCTGCCCAAACTCCAACACCTCATCCTCTTATACACTAGATATGTTGATGATATCATCATCTTGTGGGAGAGAAAACCAAACCTGTAGCAGTTTTTAAAGGTGATCAATGATAATTCCTATGGTTTACTCCTACAATTAGACCAGTAGAGTGAAACAACAGTAAACTTCTTGGACATTTCTATCTCTTGCAAAGATGGCAAAATCTGGACCAAGGTATACAGGAAACCATGTTTTCAACCTCTTTTAATTCCATATAACTCTGTTGATCCCCAGCACATCAAATTAGCAGCATTTAAATCCTTGATTAGAAGGGCATATACCCATTGTACCAGAATACAGGACACAATATTGGAGCTGAATTACATACGTATTACACAGAATAACAGGGTTATCCGATAAAAATAATACAGAAATTGATTGTAACCTTTCAAACATCAAAATGTCAACATGCATCATCAGACCAAAAATGAAGAGTGGTTTTAAATTATATCCCATCTTTAAGAAACATACATAAGAAAGCAGCCAGCGCTAATGATGTAGTGATAGTACATCGACGCAACCCAACAATCTTCAGAATTTTAAGGAATAATAAGAAACCATATAACCATAATTCGTCTGCAGGGATTTACTCCATCTTAATAATCAACCAGTGTTTCAAATCAAAACTGGTCTACGTGGGTGCCACTACACATGATTTACAACAATGACTTAAGGAACATAAGTACACAATTGATAAAAATTAAATAATACCGCACTGGCTGCTTACTCACAACATCAGGATATATAAATACAATGGAAGCAGGCAACCATCATCAGATCACATCCAATATACACACTATCGGATATCTGGAAAAATTGGAAATCTATAAAGTGCACAAAAAATCTGATTGCATCAACAATTTGTCTACAGCATGACAGTCCGTTTATGAAAGTTAATTTTATTGGATGATATTTATTCATTTGTTGTTATTTTATTTTTAATTAATTTATTTCTGTGATTATTTATTTGATTAACCTCAGCTATTTATTTATATATTTATGTTAGAATTCTTCTTATCATTTTAAATTTTTGTATTAGCATTCTGTTCTATCGTAACTGATGAAGATCGAAAACGTTTTTATTTTATTAAATTCATTACTGAATATTTTAAAGGTGTGGTTTTTTGATTTGATGGCATTCTCTCTGTATAACTTGCATAACTTTTTACAGGTTTTTACCATATAGTTTTTTCTTTTTTGAAATGAAACATCATTATATGCCAGAATTATAAAATGCACTCAATCTTCAAACTGTTTAGTTAGAATGTATAGTTAAATGTTATCTATCAAATAATTGTATGTTTTCAAGATTTGAAGTGAAGTTAGTTATATTTCAGAGTGCTTGGAGACAACTATTGCAAAAATTGCATGAATTTTCTGGCCAACCCAATAG